TGGTATTATTATCGTTATTATCATTATTAACTATTATTTATTATGATTAAATTCTCAAGAAAGACAAAAGAATTAGGACATTTTTCTAAAGGACTGATTTAATGCATTTTCCTCTTGCTAATTCTATCAGAATCAATTAAACAATGAGTTAAAAATTTCATTCCTAAAAATTTATAAAAAAGTGATTACCAAGAAAACGGTAAAGAAATCGCCATCGACATTACAATGTACACTTAATAGTACAGCAGTAGCCTGTCGAGTACGAAATCCAATTGCCACCTGATCTTGATTTGTTGATGGTCTGATTGATTGTGGATATTCATAGTAGATTGCTGACAGCGATGAATCAAATACATATGTGGTACCAGCTGGAATTGAAATCTTCTTTATTGAATCATGATTATTAAATTGAAATAAAAAACTTTAGAACATTAATAAATCACAAAATTGATCTTGCAAAAAACTTTAAAACTAACGGCTGTCACATCTTTCGCCACCATAAGTTGTCATTGAACAATCGCATTTGATAGAATTCCATGCTTGAATGCATTTACCGCGATTTGAGCATGTTTTCGGTGAACATCGAGTATTTGGACCTATCAAAATTTTATTCAAATATTAAATGTTTTTTTTAAGAAATCTCCAGAAAGTCTACGAACAATGCTATATGTTAGCTCACAAGAACATAGGAATAAGGTTTCCAAATTCACGAAATATTACTTTCAATTAACCATAACAAAAAAACAGCAGTTCAAAAGTTTAACAATTAAAAAATGGAATGGTGGGATAGCCAGGAATTTTGATGATGTCAGGATTTTTTTCAAATGCTTGTAAAATATGATTTATTTTTACCATGACATCCTTTTGCAATACCAGAACTTTCCGTAGCGTCATTCAAGATGTCCAGATATTCATTACCAATCCGTAATGAAGAGATGCAGCCGTGGAAACCGGGAACGTCCTTAAGTCTAAATTTTGTTTGCCACAATTACTATTATCAAAACAATTATGGAATCTAACAATATCTAACAATATCATTGATTACAATATTATATCTCCAGGTAATCAATAATAACGCTCATAAATAATTGATTACTTGGAAATTATGAACAAATATTCTAAAGTACCATATTTAATCCTGTTTGATTTAAATTTAAAATTGATGATACCTTAGAAAACCTGGAACTTCGAATGGTACATTCCCGATATATAAATGTGTATCTAAATTCACGGTATGTCCTTGAAAACTATCCATTACTACGCTTCTATTATCCACCACAAGATAATGCTCACTACCCAATGATTTCTGAAAACTTGAATTTTTAATTACAATACATTATGTTTTCGAGTAATTAATAATAACGCTTACAAATGTTATAAAGAAAACAAGAGAAACAAAAAATTTGAATTAAATTTAAAAAACATAATTAATATATTATTAAAAAAGATGCAGGCATAATGCCAGTGCTTTTTCAAAAGCTTCTTTTCAAAATTCGAATCAGGTAAAGAGCAGAAAATGTTTGAGTGTCATCAGGATATAAGCATATTTTTTTAAATTTATGAAATATTGAGAATAAAAATATTGCCAGACTGAATGATCACCGATTCTAATGGATATAAAAATAACTTACTAACATTTAATAAAATGTAATCTGTAAAATACTTTTCTTGCTTTAATAATTAACTGCAAATGCGCAAAAGAGATGTGTTTGTCAGAGAGAAGGAATGAGAATTAATTTGCATAGATGTTTTCAGTTGATAATATATATCTGACTGAAAATAACCTGATGCACAAGGATATTATGCCATTTAAAATCATTTAAAAATTGTCCATCTGGCAAAGCTGATGACAGTATGGATTCTGTTCGAGAGTTAAAGCTATAAGTATATCTGAAATATGCATCATCTTGCATTTGAAATTAAAAAAAAAAGAGAAACCAATCATCTTTACGTTTTTTGTAGGAACAAATAAATAAAAAAAGGAAGTGATACATAAAAGGATGTTGGAGAAGCATATTTATTGAAATACACATTTCAACCTTTGACATTCATTAGATTAGTTTTGTTTAAGCTCATCCACTTCGCGCAGATTAAAATTTCAGAGATGATTTTTTCATTTTTTCTTTTTTGCCAGCACAACCTTTCATTTTCAACTCTTTAATAAAAATTTAAAAATGGAAAGAATTAAATTGTCGGATAGTTGACATATCGAACACCTTACATAGAGCAATGTACTCTTTATGATTTACCTTATTCGACCATTATACAATTCCAAAGATGCCAAATCGTGAGTATAGGAGGAATTAGTTGAGAAAACGAGTAAAACTGATGATGATGACAGTGTTCGGAATTTGAATGAAATTCGATAAATATTTCCAATGTTTGCTAAACGTTCATCGCTGATCAGAGCATATGAATTATTTTTTTCAAAGGTTACCGGTGAATATTTTGCTTTCCTGAATTTGAAAATTGATTTGCTTTTTCTTCTAAAAATTTATTTGAACTTAAATTTTATTTAAAGGAGGTAAGATGAAATTTAAATTTCTCGCTTTGTAAATAATTTTTGATTACTTGTTTTTTTTTTTAAAAAATCAGTGATTCTAATTGCAAAAATATCATCATAGCAAGCTAGTAACGGTATGTAGCAATAATTGATACATAAATTCAATAATACTGAATTGAATTATTAGCAAAAAATTATTGAGACTGTGATTGAGAATTAATATCCTGAAGATATTTTTTCTTCCTTTCTCATCATCATACTTAGAAAAAATAATCATTACTAAATAATAAAATTTAATTGGCCAGATGCCTCATCTGAAACTATCCGTTTAAACTGCATATAATAATTTGATGCAAAAAATAATTGATATTAGTCCATGGAAATTCCAAATATGAAATTTTCTCTAACAAGAATGACAAGAATGAGAAAAACTATCAATTCAATAATTACCTATTTCGTATTTTATATCGCTCATGTAATTCATTCATTTTCACTGATGAAGTATGCTTTGGGCTTCTACGTTCTGCATTCTTTAACACGTCATAATCATTAAAGAGCATTTTTATCATTTGTCCACGAAATTTCTCATCCAATGTACTGTTTGCACGAGTGGTAAAATGTGATGATGCGATTGGATGTAATGAATGTCCAGCAGCTATTTCATCAATATTCAATACCACTTTAGCAGATGGTAGAAAATCTAAAACCATTAAACATTACATTTAGCAACTGTCATTTTATCAATAATTTATACAATATCAAAAAATTTCCTTTAAATGTTCATTAAACAAAGAACTTTTTTCCATTTTGTAACATCCATTAAAATCTAACAAATTTTGCATGAAAAAAAAAGAAACAGAAATTTATTGTTTACATAAAGTGAATAAAATCAATGCTTAATCAATACAACAAAACTTTTTAGTGTGAAAAAAAAAATTTCGAAGATTTAAAATCTTATCTTTCAAAATTTCCAAAATATTCCTTAAGATATTTTTGAAATATATTTCTCGAATTAATATTAATCGCAAATAAACTCACAACTATGCTCCCATTTACCATCCAGAAATAGCAAAAGTTTTTCACCACGTCGTTTAATACGCATGGAATGAATTCGATTATCATTTAAATTACTACCCCAATTGAATGCCTGTAATACTTTTTGATGATATCTCTTATGTTAATTCGAATGCTGTACAAATTAATTAGAATAGAAAGAAATAATTATAAGTAATCGAAATGAAATAAGCATAAATGCTTCAGGAAATGCTATTCGTAAAATAAAACACTTCATTTTCAGTACTTCTACTATTTAACTTCATTAAAAAGAAGTGTTTCCTATCTGCAAATAAAATAATAAAGTAAAATAATAATTTGAAAAATGATCGATTTCAAGAAAGAGAATTAAAAAATAATTGAAGAGAATGTCTTAGGCTGCTAAAGAAAGCTATGTTTTTAAAGTTTACCGTCTGGAAATGAATTAGTTACAAGAAAAAATTGCTATAATTCAAAGTCATGTAGTCAACAAATGCAATTCAAAATTAATTAACTTGCTAATGTTATTAATCAGCAATGAAAAAAAAAGCCAAAACATGCTGTAGGCTACACTTCAAAGTTCTGAATTCTTAATTTTAATAATAAATATGGCTTCATCATTAAATCTATTATTGAAGTCTAGCATCCTCAGAATTTAATCATTGAAATTTCAAAATTTAGAATCAAATGTCCACAATGCAGTTATTATGAGAAAATTTATAATAGTTGCTATACTCAATCAACCAATAAATTACATGATGGGAATCATCGAAATTAAGATGCAATTCAAGTTCTCCTTTGATCAGTAAAAGTAAAATACGATGATTTGGTGACTTGACAGATTTCGTATCCAGCAAAACACTTCTTTCACTG